AATATAATAGATTGAGATGATGATGATGATGATGATGATGATGATGATGATGATGATGGGGAGGAGGAGGAGGAGGAAGATAACCAGACAGATCCCAATGGGCATTGAGTTTTTAGTTAGGTAAATGGTTCTTTTTCTATGATGTCTATGTTTTTATTACATTCTTCGGACTTTATTGTACTCTATCCAGAGTTTATGAAGACTGCAGAGGGCTATTAATGTTGTAAAATGAAACCAATAAAATCATAAATAATGGAACTTAAAACAAATCCCCAGAAAAACAAACAAGCAAGCAAAAGTTAAATCACCCACGAGTAAGACAGAAAGGTAGAAACTCTTTTTCTGTAGATGAAGAAAACCTTTGAAAAATGAAAGCTCAGATTTTACCACTTTAATGATATTAATACAGATATGTGCACACTTCTTCATTTATGTGAACAATTAAGGTATTTTCAAATATATATATTGTCTAATGTTATTTTTAAAGCACACATTTAAAGACATGCATAACATTAATGAAAATCATGGAAATGTTGTAGAATACTGTAAAATATGGATATTTGCCAAAATCAAAGCTTCTCAAGAGCTGATACATTATCTCTTGGCAGTATCAGAATAACAAGCATAATAATTGAGATTAAGAGGCTGCTTCATAAACAATTGTTTTCTTTTGCCAATTCTATGTGTCCTTCACTGCTGAGAAACAAACTTATTGTTTCCTTTGATACTCTGGGGTCAAAAAAAGAATGAACAAAATCATTGGCTAGTTGTCCAATTGTCCAAAATTATCAACAGTTTCACAATCTCTTATTGTGTAACAGTATGATTTGGGAGTATATTTCATAGAATTCAGAATTGATTCCAACCACATCTTTTAATTTTTAATTGTATTTAATTCAATTTAATTCAATTCCTTTATCTTGTAACAATATTTTAAAATCAAATAAAGAGGTTTATTAAACACACACATGAATAATCCAAATATTTATTCATGTTAAAGATATCTGATTACAAAGATATCTTGCAAATCAACAGATGTAGGGAAACATATTAGTAGTCTTTTTGGATGGACTGGAATGGAAGAAATAAAATGATGCTTTTCCATTGAGTGAAAAATGGATACAATAAGAATGTTGATATAAACAATCACAACAGAAGTATGGAAACTCCTGTAAAAAAATTCATGATAGGCTTGGAAGAGTCATCAAGGTCAATTAGTCCAATCTTCTATTCAGTGCACAATCTACAATAGAGAATGGTCTAATAGCTGGTGTTGCATGGCCGCTAAGATGTACCAGTTAATATCTTCAATATTAATGTCTTGGATATTGGTTCAAAATTGGTTCAACCACCGGAACTAACTGTGCAACTTTGAATCAATTATTCTTTCAGAGGGACATCCTTAACAATCAAAAATTAAGATTATGTATGTGTAATATTTAAAAGGGGCAAAGTTTTCATCATCAGGCAGGGCACCATTTTGAAATCAGTGTCTGTGCTGTAGATACCCCTTTTCACTCAGCCCACTCTATTTTCTTGAGAGGTGATTGTGTGAATGAAATTATGAATGAATGAATGAATGAATGAATGCTGCCTTGAGGTTTCAAATAAAATGCAAGTACTAAATGCACTTAATTAATTAAATCAGCAATGCATTTGAATGAGATAGGATTTCAGAAAAATATATTTTGCACCATGGCACAGAATATAATTCCATAATTATAATTGCTATGCAGATGTTCTTTTTTTAATGTGATAATTATGGTACCATTCTATGCCACCTTAAATCTTAAAAGATTGTTCTTTGTAATACACTTTCTTATGACAATTTGTATAGAGGAAAAGGTATAGAGGAAAAAATGCCCTATTCCCATGATAAAACAGCTTAATACTTGTAGATACCGACTTTATGAAGAAGTCTACATAGCAGTTTTATTATGTAACCCTTTTTATAGATTGAGTTCTCTACTGTGTTTCTTTACATTTCTAAGATTTAAGCAGATAATCCAAAAAGAATCATTTTCTCAGAATTTATAAATTTGGGGATGCCAGACACCAGTTTTTTCTGGTCATCCATAGCGTTGGGAGATTGAAATTATTAAAAGGGCAAATATTAATTCTTAGAGGTTGATATACCCAAAGTGCTTACACTTCTGTAGTAAAAAAAATGTATCATTGAAAATGAAATCAAATGTTTAATTATTAAATTCAATATTTTGATATTGAGTTTAATACTTAAATATTAAATTACACCAAAGAGAATATTGTTTGGAAAATTAAGTGCAAGGGTCATAAAAATGGAATATTTAGAGATTAATTTCAGCTAAATGGCCTTACCTTGACCAAGAAATATCCTAACTTGACCAAGAATGGTGTCCTCATTCCTACTCTACAATAATAAATCTTCAGTAGAAAATGTTTTTCTCAACTTCAAATATTTCCAAGAATAATATTTAGCTATCGCTGCAGGGATAGTTATTACAAACAGTAACAGCAGATCCTTATATTG